TCACGTCATGAAAGAAGAAAATCTGAGAGAGTCCTGAGCTCCCTTCATGGAACAATGGTGTTTATCCCTTTCCCAGATAACTAAGAGATGTAATAATCTATCTGATTCTTCCACTTCTGTATTGGTAGGTAAGTTGTGCTGCTGCTGAACAAAAGGAAATGGAGACACGCCAGCTTAGTAGAAGAATCTCTGAGCACAATGCTGTATTTACGCATAACATTACAGGGATATTAGAAAAGGTACGGAGAGCCCTGAGGGTCACACATGCTTTCATGAAACAAAAATTTATGAATGGAAAGGAAAGCAGAAATTGACACTAAAGAACGGCAGAAAGTGTAATTTAATAGAAATACAATACAAAATCTTACTTGAGTTAAATATGACTTACAGCAAGGTTTGTTAAAATGCTATTGATCACTCTATTAGGTGCTAGAACAGATAAAGATGATTGTTCCCAGTAACTGAGAATATGATATTGAGTTGCATTTTATCAGCATATCCATATGTCAAATTGAGAAGGGCTTTCAAGTGAATCTGCCAGCCGTCCCCCTGGGAGATCAGATACTTTCTTTCCAGGATACTAGAAACTGAGAGACCGCTCAAGACTTCTTGATTGTTAGCCAAACATCAGGAACTAGAAAACCTCTCTGTGTGTAGCCCTAATAGAGCCTAAGACTGGCTGCAGAAGATTTGGGTGTTACTCCTTTCTTTTTTTTTAGCTGAAATAAAATGTTAATTGAAAGCTTTGCTGGGAAGCAGGTTCATCATTGCAAGGTTTGGACCTTTTTCTTAGCTGCTGCCATCAGAGCATTCTGTACCAAGGCTCTCATTCCAGCACAGATGATAAAAGAGATGTATAGCAAATCATACGTATGTGTAGGTTGTTGCTTCTGAATTAGCCAAGGGCGGGGGGAAAAATCCTGATGGGTCCACTTTAATTCTGTAACTTATATAATTTTTGAGAGTTGAATTATATAGCTATTTGGTAGCATATATTGCTGAACACTTTTATTGTCATGTATTTCCCTTTTTTGGTATTTTTTCTTTGCTCAGCTCTCTTCTTCTGCTGTAAGTTTGTTGAACTAGTTGGTCATCCATAAAGGATGAATTTGATCCTTACACACTTCCATTATTTCTTGGCAAACAAACGGCAAGCCAATGACCAAACTCCATATAACTACATACCATGCAGTGCCACTGATATCAGTACTACTCAACACATATTTTGGCTGCTGAAGCACCTCCAATAACACTGAGTCCCATTGTTAGATGTGTTATGTAGTCGAGGTTGAATTTCCATAGTGTGCTACCTAATAATGGAGGAACTAGTGGGTGTTCTTCAATCGTCTTACCCGACAGCTTGTCATCCCAGCAAGAACATTGCTAATGAACCATATGGCCTTTGCTGGCTTGACAGCAGTCCTACACATCAAAGCCTTGCTGCATGTGAAAGCCCCATGGCAAAAGCTGTTCTTACCACAACTTCTCCACATGTGGATACTAAAACTTAGGTGGCCCACTCACTTCCAGGGAATGTGATGTCACCACTGTGAAGCATCATTTTGATGCAATAATATATCACCTTAAAAATCATTGCTTTTTTTCCCCCCACTGATTGTAATAATCTTTGAAAAAGGAGCTGCTGGAGGCAAGGTTACAATACAAATTATGCTACTTCCTCTGTTTATTCTTAAATTAAGCATATATTATGATAAAATAGAAATTGTATTGAAAGTATAAAGAAAAAAGCAGAAGTATTCATATTTGGTAGCAGTTGGGTATAAGCCAGATCATCCATCAGTAAATATCCATTAAATGTTTTATGAGCCTGCCTAGACTTTTTCAGAACACTGTGCCCCAGATAATAGACTAGTGTACAGGTCCACATTGGCATCCACAGGATAATGTTCTTTTAGAGAGAATTATTCTTTGATTTCTTATTTGAAGTTTGGCTCCTTCTTAGATCTATCAAATACTTCTCTTCCTTTTTAAACACCAGCAGTATATCTTTTAGGGTTTGCATGCTCTATTAATAAAAATTCCAGCCTACCACTTCCTTTTTGATCTACACTCTTAAGAAAACAACATAATTGGCAATTCTAAAAGTTCAAGGTATTTTAAAAGAGAACAAAAATATGAGAACAGTCTTTTAAATGTTGCAAATGACAACTTTAATTGTAAAGTTATTTGCTTCTTCATATTTAACTTTTTTCCCACTTCAAAATATAGTAGATTTATTCCAGCAGTATATTACTAGCTTTGGTAAATAAAAACATCATAGTCAGCTTTAACATGCAACATCGGTAAGCTTTGAATGCTCTGTGTTTTCTCTTCTTGTCATAGCAGTGCTGCCATTCAAATAGACTTTAACACAGTATTTCAAATGCTTCCTTGTAATACATACAGTTTGAAACAACAGAAAAGGGTGTGAAAACATGAGACTGTGCTGAAAGATTAGCCCTTTCTGAAGTGGCTGGGAATATAATCTTTGCAGGAAGGATAAATACAGTCAGTGAAATTTATGTCCCACTGACATGGGTTCAGTGAGGTTTTATCCCAGTCACACAGGGAACAGCTGCATAGAATGAAGATCCCTTATTTCCAGTCACTAACAGCGTTACCATCCTGAACTAGTGAAGGACCTCTACTACTACAAAGATTTCATTTCTTTATAGTATAGTTAGAATTTTTACTCACCATAGACCCTTTTTCTTTGAGACCTTTAGCTTCCTATATCCACTACCTGAATTTCTAGACCTCAGATGTGTGTTCACTGCTTGTTCAGGAGTTCTTTATTTTTCTTTCTTATATAAACTGCTGCTGTGATGCTTGTGCATCTTCTAAGCACACAAAGCTTTTTATGTGCAGAACTGAGATTTTAGAAAATGTTATAAACAGCTCCTAATTCGTTTAACATGGGTACTCTTTTGGTGTGAATTTATCAGCATTTTTTGACTGGACTGGCACAGGCAAAGAATTCAAACACCTTACATAATTTGAAGAAAGCTGATGTCAGCAGTTACCTTCAGCAAATACACTTTGATTTCTCCAAGCAACAATATCCATTTTGCTTGAGGCAAAACTGCTCTCCATCTCTATTGGCATTTAATTACCTTCTCTCCCTCTTTATCTTTTTACTGATTAATGTCTTGTCTCAGCCTTTCCAGGATTCTTTGAGGAATCCTTGCAGGCTTGACAGTCCCTCGCTAGCATTTTTTTCTTATTTATCCTTCTATAAATGTTTCAGCACCTTTTCCGCATTCCCTGCTGAAAGGGAAGAGTCCTTTTTTTCTCCCTTCCTGCTGTTCTCCCAGTGACCCTAGACTTGATTTAAATGAAAATCAATGATGACGATTCTGATGGATCCTATGGTATTATTTTTAATAGTCCCTGAAAGTGATTTGGTCCTGTTTTTCGAAAGAGAAAATACACACATAGTTACCTTGGCTAGTAGCTGTGTTTAAATTCTCCCCAGGACTATGTTAATGTGCATTGGCACATTGGCCCCAGGAACATCTGGAATGATAGTGGCCAAGCCCTAGAAATAAATGAGTAGTAAGTCCAATAATGGATAGTGAGATACACTGTCGGGACCGACTGCTTCTGGACAAGATTACACTGCTGAGCTATACTGCTGCCACAGGAGCTGGCACTGGCAAGGCACCAGCTTCTGCGTGCAAGGGAGGACTGTACAGGACTCCTCCAAAAATCAGAAGAAATTCCGTTCCTGAGGTTAAGGTACAATGGTAGAATATTAAGTATTTGTAATCTGTTTTCAAAGCTTACTTAATGACTAAAAGAGACAGTTTAAAAGCAGATGAATTTCCCTTTGTAAGCAACAATTTTTTTGAGTGAGAGAACGCGAAAGCTCCAAGGCCCCACTCTTAAAGCTCACCAATATCATCAGAAATGTTACATTTAACTCTCATCATTTCCACATATACTTTTAAAAATGTCCCATGTTCCTACAATACCATATTAATCCTTTGTCTTCCAACTCCAGCAAATACTGGTCAATTTGATGCAAAGTTTTCCTGTACATCATTGAAAAATGGCTCGGGCACAGAGGCTTGTGGCTTTCTGTGCAAAGTGGTATTCAACAGGCTTTCGCAGAGCATTAGGGCATCAGTACAAAACTGATTTGCTTGAGAGATCGTCATCCTGCTCCCTTGTTTACTGAACACTAGGGGGTATAGCACTAAATTTAACTAAACAGAGAGCTTGCAGTACTATTTTTAGCCTGGTTTTCCATGAAAACATGGCATATGTGATCACTCTATAAATCAGTCTCCTCTGCTCAACTCACTGATCAGTTTTGATCAAGTCTGACACAGAACTGGAGGTCTGAACCTAAACTTTTGTGAAAATTAGATCTTGGGTGGTGGAGAGGGACAAATTTAATGCCTACACTGATTCAGAAAAAACCTGGCCAAGCTTATCTTTTTATCCTGGATGCATTTCACTGCAGAGATACTGACTGACTGGACAGTCCGTGTATGCATCAATCCAACTGCAGCATGTGTCCAGATACCAGGTGAAAAAAGTAAGGTGGCAAAAGAGGAGTGTGGGAGCAGCTGAAGACATCATGGTGCTGACAGGGAGTGTGGTGACAGGGAGCGTGTGTGCGGGAGGCATGGGGGCTCTGTGAAGGAATTGCCATGGGGATGCCATGTGAAGGCAGCTGGGGAGCCTCTGCAGGCAGCGAGGCAGGTGCTGTGGGGGAGATGGGTCACCTGAAAGCTGCAGGAGAACTGGGGATACAACACTGGAGGCATGGAGGATAATCACCTGGTTAGGGGGAAGAAACTATTATTTCCTTAATTCTCCTCTTTGGGAAGGAAATTGATAAAAATCAGTTAATCATTTCTGATTAAAAGCTATGGCTGCCAATTGAGACATCTCAGTGTGGGACATAGTGTTTATTTTAGCACAGCATGTGACTTGCAGAAGGAGGTTTTGCTAATTAGCCCTAAAAGTTATAGGAAGTTTATAGTGCACTCTTTTATAGCTAAATTGAATGACTCAAGACACTAGAGTTATTGTATGAGTAAAAAACAGCAGGATCAGGCCATTAGAGCTCTGCCAGTCATCAGATGTCATGAGTTCTCTCCATTACAGAGCAAAATTTGTCCTGAAAAAGACAAAAAAACAAAAAATCCTTACAAACTAGCTCTTCTCTCTGTTCAGGGTGCTTTAGTCATTTCTAAGTTTGCAAAGTCCTGGAACCCAATGGGACACTGGAAAAAATAAACTAACTGAAACTATCATTCTTGCCAGAATCACTGCTCCACAAACATTCAGGGTGGCTCATCACTAATTGGGAAGCTGTTGCTGTATGCTTGGACAGTTTGTTTGCCTCGATGAATAGGGAAAATGGGATAAAGATATTTAATTAGTTACTAAGAAGGGAAATAGTGAAAGTCCTGTAGCTGCATTCAGTTTAGATTTAGGGGAGGCAATAACACAAAGTCTGGGACTGACTGAACTGGTAAGAATTGGCTGAACTCCACCAGATTCATTTTATGTCACCAGAAAATCTAGCCTCTATAGTTCAGATATCATTAGTGAACATGACTTGTTTGGCTCTGTCCACACTATAATTGAAAAAAACAATCAACCAAAACCAAAAGAGAACTAGATGCAGGTTCTTCTCTGCATCTACGCTCAGGTATCTCACAGTTCTCTAATTCTAATCAGCAGGCTCATGTTATAAAAACTAGATAATTTCATGACTGGGGAGAGAGGAAGGAATCTATTCCCAATGTCCCTCACACCTTGCTCTAAGTTCCCTGAGCATTCAGGACAACTTAGAAGAAAATTTGTTCCAGACTATCACCTGGATAGTATCAGATAAAACTCAATTAAGTAAATATTCTTCAATAGCCAAGCCTAGATCATGTGGGTCGGGATATATAAAAGGGGACAGAAGGTGCTGAAAGGCTGGCCGCCCTCCGTAGGTCCTGCTAGCATTCAAGAAAAGTTTTTGGGTGTTCCTGTGCCTTGTGTGAGGGATATGACAGAGCTCAAGACACCCTATTTGCCCTCTCATCAGGGAAATATTTACTTTTTTATTCAACTGGAAGGTCAAGGATGAATCTTCAGTTTTGCAAACTCGGCCTTAGAGCTAAGATTAGTAAATTGCTGCCAACATTTGTCCCAGAAAAATAAAGCCAGATTCCTTTTTCAAAAGTAGTAAAAACATTAAAATAGTAATGTACTTTAAAAGGAAATAATCAAGTGCATAAAATCAAAATATATGAGCTCTGCTAGTGCTGGATTATGTGCATTTTATACTGTACTAACAACAAAATAAAATGTGCTTGTGCAACAGTATATTATGAAAAAATATCTTAAGCAGTTAGTAAATTTGGCATGATTTTGTTATTCTTTGGATAAAATGCAAACATGCAGGATTAGCCAAAATTTAAGCTATTGGGATTCTAAGGATAATTCAGAGTCCACCTCCTGCAGGTACTGAGAAAAGACAGATTGTGATTGAATAGACAAAAATATCCCATTTCTTCACCAACTCTACTTGGGTCTCCAGTGTCTTTTCTTGTTTAGATCTGTCTTCCCTATAACATTTATGCAGTCAACATTGAATGAGATATGCTGGAGTACAGGAGCTTTCCAAGTCCTTGGTGCCAAGAAGTGAGTATGCGTGATCAGCAACAATGTCTTGAAAGCACAAGTTGTAGGTGACTTTATATATATATATATGTATACACACACATATATAGACCAAATCACAGGAAAAACATATCAAGTTGAGCAGAGCTCATCGGTGTCCTATTTGTTATCACATATTCCTCCTCTTCTATTTTCAGTAGTCCAGGGCACTGTCGCAGCTGGGGATGAACAGGTGCAGAGAACAATTATCCTATTTCCAGAGCTAACTGTGGGCTTCAATTAGGAAGATGGCTTACTGGGGTAAAGAAATTCATCTCCGTAGATTCTTAGGCAAGAAACAAAATCTTTTCATGTGACCTACCAAGACTACTTCGTTTATTTGTTTATATTAAAGCATTGGTAGTCGGTGTAATTCTCATATATAGCACAATGCGAAGGATATATAGAGGACATACAGAGGGAGATATCAACACAATTCAGTGGGACTCACATGAGCCCTTAGAGCGGCATTTTGTTATTGAATTTGTAAAAGCGTTATTGGTATCTGTGCCAGAACTGAATTCCTCCCCCTGTAAATATCCCAAATGCTATTAGCAGGTGTTCAAAATAATTTTCCAATGCAAAATAAATAAATAAATACTTAGGCAAACATATCTTTCTTGAAAAAATCTAGCTGAGCTCCGTTGTTTCAAAAGACCTGCTCAAAACAAGATGCTTTACCTTTTAATATCTATCTATTTATGCATGCATGCAGGGAACCTAACAACTAACTGGAATCAAATTTGTAAGTCTATTGACTATTATATCCTACGCTATAAATTCCAACATTTTGCAATTTGCAAGTTGCCATGCAGAGCAAGTTAGAAATAAGTCCTTCATTCTTAGATTTTCCATGTTTTTCAATCGTTTTATTTCTTTGAAGTGTCTTCGACTTTTATATATATAAAATTCTAAAAATTTAAAAATATCTCGATCTAAATCCCTCAAAAAACAAAACAAACTCCCCTGTGCCCATAAAATTGCACGTTTAAGGGGAGGAGGGAGATATCTGGACTACAAAGCTGTGTTTGTTCCAGGTACCTCAGCTTTATTTAGTTTGATGTTTGTTCTGTGACCATTTGAAATTCAATTTCAGGTGGTTCTGTATAATATCAGCATAGGATGCATCATTAACTCTAAGAGGACGTTTTCCATTGGCATCTGCTATTTTCACCAAATGTCAAGGCTTGACATTTGCTATCATTATCTGGTTTTGGTGTATCACTCATACTGAGATTTTGTTTCTTCTTATCTGATATCCATTTCAACTGAGACCAGCTGTGTTGCTAATAAAATCAACAGGCAAGTATCTGGCATTCAGTTCTTCATGGGTGGAGGAAAAGAAACAACCCAATGTCAAAAAAAGAAAAGAGGTACTTTTCAATTAGGATGCTTGCCTCTGTCCTCATATTATCTTTCTCAGCACTTCTGTTGATGCAGTATTTCTGACTGATTCCCTTGGGGAAATCTCCATGGAAATCCTTGCCTCTCAGATGAAATACTCCTTTTTGCTCTCATCCACTGCTTCTTGGAGAGCAGGGTCATTTTTCAAAGCAGCGTCTGCACTTTCGGCAAACTCAGTTCCTTTTGCCTCGTTGGTGTGGTAGGTGCCTTTATGCCTGTACATGTATCGGAGCATCACAATCAACAGGCAAATGAGGACAAATACCACTGCAGCAATCACACCTAGAGGAAAGGAACCAGTTTAATGCCTTGAGAGAAATCACACACTGTCTGTGTTTTACAGACAGGCAGCACAACTTGAGTTATTCAATAGGTAAAAGTCCATGTACCATAAGATATTCACATATTGTGGCTATCAGAGTCAGAACAGATTCCTCAAGAAACAGCCTGAAGAGTTGATGCTGCCAAAACCAAGACTGCGTACAGATACTGCAGAGATGCAGGGCAAATTCTTGCAAGCTTTCTTTCAATTAATGTCTGGATTTGGTTGAACTAATTGAAGCTACAAGTTCATTCCAAAATGAGGAGACATAAGAGGACATAAAACAAAACCTGACACATTTTTTGCGTCCTTCTGGTAATGTATACCCAGGGGAGTCTGCAGGTGACCTGATCCTGTCCCATTGAGTACATTCAGTTTCAGGAGGAGGAGATTTTCAACAAGTAGCAGGAGTCCTGCCATCTGCCTACAGCTCTACTCTGTATTTCCAGGCTGCCATATCATGCTGTGCTCTAATTAAGAAAGTCTAATTGTAATGAATGTGGAAATGACACCTGGGAGGAAGAAGGGATTCTGGGTAGATCTTCTCTATCGCCTGGCCTAAGCCAATTACTAGCAATGTGTTGATTGGATAAACATTTTTGCAGGCAACCTAAATATGCATATTTGCATATTACATACGCAAACTGTGAATGGAAGCATTCCTACCGAAGGAACGCAAAGCCAGGCTCTGGGGAAGGCTGTGCAGTGAACACTGTGTGTCCTTGCTTCTCAGAGCCTCTTCCTTTCTTTCCTTTTCTACAGTGGAACGTGGAATTAAAGAAGAGTGTTATCACTGACAAGTCCCTATTTCAAAAATTAAGAGGTGTATCCCCTTTCTCTCAGATCAAATAGTTTATTTGAGAACCCTGAAAATAAAGGAAGTATTTTGAATTTTAGTTATTCAACTTGTGTGATTTTTTTATAACTTTTTGGATACAATCTGGAAGTGCTTATAAGCTTTCCTCTTTAGCTGTGATTCTGTACGTGTACGTGAAATTGAGCTGCTTATATATTCATGTGACTCCAGGAGCTAGGGGTTAAGGGAATAAACCAAACACCAAAGAAATACACAATAAGAGCACCAGAACAGCCAACACTGGGAAAGAGGACATTCCTGGGAAAATCCCATATGCGGAATGTGAAGCTGCTGTGAGGATGTAATAGGTAGAAATTCATTTGACTAATTGTAGTCTTCTACCGTACAGGAGGCTCCATATGAGCTGGTAGTTTTGGGCTACCTCAATATTCAGTGGACTGGAGAGGGTGATGACTGACTGAATGAGGATGATGAACTAAATGACTACATCTAGTCAGATGCATTGCTCCCTGGAAATGCCTACTGTTCTGCAGTGACAACGAGGGGACTATAGAGAATATTTCTCTTCTTTTCAAGAAGTGGGGCAGGAGCGGGTATCTCCAAAGCTTTAGATTTATTAGCATCAGCAAACTGAGTGGGGACAACATATTAGCATGAAAACAGGGGCTTGGGCTCCTGTTAACCATTAGTAGGGTTAATAGAAATTATAACTTTAGCTTATAAAATATGCCTGTAATGCTATCCCACCTATTTTTATGGTGCCTGAGTCTGGAAAGTGAAGTTACTGCTAGCAGAACTAAAATTGCTTATATAACGAACTTGAGGTTTACAGTAATAACATAGCTGTGATGGGGGCTTCAGCAATATTTAGGGCCTCACTGGCATCCCTGGACACAAGAGGCTTTAATAGGCTTTAGATGTAGCACAATATTAATAAGCCTAAGGGACTAAGCACAAATCAATTTACCTGCTACTTGTTCATAGAAAGCTGAAATTAAAGTTACGGGAGATGGGACCTGAGGGAAATATAGAGAACCTCACCAATTTGCACTAATGATTGGTATACCCCCTTGTGAATGACTGAAATTAGTGTGTTAGCATGGAAATGAACAAACACAATAAAAATAAAAAGACAGGGTTCTCTCCATGAGCACAGCTTTGCTCATTTATTCTGACAACTGTATTTAGTTTGAATGCATGAGAGAACTTTAATAGGACACCAGGAAACACACTGTGGTATATTCTGTAAAAATAAAGGGCCAGCTGGTGTGAGCTAGCATGGTTCAAAACAATAACATTTTGCATTAGATGACAACCTTGGCTGAGTGAATGATGAGGAATATAAAAGGTTGACTCTGGTGTTGGGCCCTCAGATATTTTGCCCTAAAAGGGGGAATGGATAGGGGTGGTTTATGCTCACTATCTCATCTTGTTATCTTGCCAATAGCCCCTTTTTGTAGCAGATTTCCCACTGGCTTAATTAACTCTAATTGTGCCACTCCTGTTGTCTTCTCAGCCAAGCAGGGGTTTTGTAAAATGCAAGCAACCAACCTGCTGTTTTAATTCTAATGGTGCATCTAAGTATGGTCTGCTACTTACCTCCAATAACAGCCACATCTGCTCCAACTGAAGAGCTCTCGATATCTCCATCTATAAACAGATCAGAACATACAAAAGTTAATTAAACAAAAAGGAGTTGGATCATATGTAGCAGCAGTGACTGTACTGATGGTGCTGTATTACTTTAACCTCTGAAACTCAGAACTTAAACAAGATCTCTCGTTAGCAAAGGACATTTATAAAACATCTCATTAGAACTGGCTGTACTGTAGCAGTTTTCTGTCACTGTAACACTGGAAAATAAACAGCTAGCACATTATGCAAACTATCTTTGCCCTCAGGGAAACACCTACTGTTTATTATGAGCACTTACCTGTAACATCCTCCAGTGAATGATTAAATTAAGAGTGTTTGGGTAGTGTGATTATTCTCAGAAAGGTAGTTTTGGGAAAAAAAAATATTGGTGCCCATTTATATTCCTGTTTATGGCTCTTCAGAGTACTCTGGATCCTGATTTGATGTAAATTAATCTGGCTCCATTGATTTCAATTAGTATTTATCTTAGTACCTTATTACCTTTTTTAAATCTTAGTATTTATTTCCTTTTAAACCCACATTTGGAATCAAGACAAGCTTCTTATGTGTGTGGTGTAAAACACAGTTCTTGCTTAGTGCAAGTCTGAATTTGCCCTGGTAAGTCAAATAACATTCTTCACTGGATTATAACTTCTTAAAAAAGATAATTTTGCCATTTAAAAGCAAAAGAGAACTACCCGACCAGGACGTTTAAGAGATAAGAAATTGGTCTGAAAAGTTATAAGCTGCTGAAAGAACAGTTAAAATAGAAATTGCATTTTGATAGTAATTATAGCACTTAACAAAAATTTCCAAAACAACTAATGAATAGCCAGAGCATTTTAGAGGGGGGCAGGAAAGAAAAACCCTAAAAAAGGTGAAGTTTTTTTGCTTCTTATTATCTGAAATAGACCCTAAGTATAAGTAAATTTATGTAGACCAACTTTCTTTCCCAGCTTCTCTGTAGTTTATCAGGGCACAATTCTGATCTCGTTTCCAGCTCCACATCTAATGCCATTGGCATCAGCCCACTTACTCCTGAATTATGTAGATGTCTGAGAAGGTGATGAATGCTTGAAGTTTTGCATGTCGGGTTTATGACAGAGGCCTCTCTTCACCTTCTTTATTATTGCCACTATTTATACAATTAAAAAACCTATTGGTATCCTAACAAGGCAAATAGTCTTACGTGAGGTAATTTTTTCTGTTGATAAACACAGTGGATAGAAAAATTCTCTGGAAAAGGTAAGATGCTAATTCCAAATCTTTCTGTAAATTCTACAGTGGCACTATGGCTGATATCTGGCTCTTCATCTGCTAAATCAGTGATGGATGATGCAAGGGCAAGACACTATCAGGAGCTTTCTCCTTTCTCATGGCTGGTCTCTGATATCAAACTGCAACAACCTGAAGAGAGCTGAGATTCAAAGGATCCCTCTCTTCCTGATCATGGGAGATACTTTTACTGAAGAACTGAATTTCTTCCCTTCTCCCCTAGAGATCTTTCCTATATCTTCTTCCAGCTATACGCTGATGGAAAGATTGAGCACGCCCTGTGCAATTTAAAAAATCTAATTATGTCTAGGACCATTCAAAACCCATGTGCCTCGGAAGAGATTAATTCCTTCAAGGTCAAACTGTTCTGTATTTCTTTATACACCAAATATACACTGCATGCCAAAAAAGAAAGCTCCTATACAGCAATCAAAAATTTAAAGGTGTGAATTCTAAAGCGCTTCCCTAGCCACACAGCTTGCTTCCAAATATTAATTCCAGATCAAATCATCATCCCTTTAATTATAAAAAGGTATGTGAGTATCTCTTTACTCTCTTCTGTCATTCCCAGGTGCCTTTGGGATTCAGATAACAAGCACGTCCTTTATCTCTAGTACTTGCCATAGAAATGCTTTTTGATAGTGGATTACAGTATCATTACTTTGCAGAAAAGTTTAATTTCAATACTGTACTTTCTAAGTTTTCAGAAGAATGATGGCCCAGTCTTGAGCTATCCTGTAGTTGGCACTGCCCTGTTAAGTTGATAACTCTCTGTCATTCAGCAAGCAGTTAGCACCATGATGTGGCATCAGTCACCACAGTTCTCATCATACTGCAAGCAGGAGACTCCATGTTTTATCGTAGAATAGGTCTGTTATCTCTCCAACGGGGGGTTGTCTCCTTTTGTTGTATCCTCTAGAGGCAACTGGTAAGAAACCAGAATTCAGTAGGGAATTAGAAACTGGAGTTGCACAGCTCTGCTCCTGCTTAACTCCTTGCACACACAAGGGTACGTCAAGACCAAGTCCAGTGAATCTGTGGTGTGTTGAGAAAATGGCCTGACAAGTGACTGAAGCAGTGTGCACAGGGAGAAGCAAGAGGTGAGCTCTTTTGACAGCACAGACACTGCATAACGGTACAGGGATCAATGAGAGGTAGTATCGTTGCTCTAAAGGTACATCATTTTAATTAATATTTGAAATGATCGGGTGTTAGGACTCCTGTGATACAACAGCTCTGTACAGCTTCCTGTGCGGTCTGGCATGGGTTGGCCCAACCCTGCTCACAGAAACTTTTTGCCCTGTTTTGTGCCTCTACAGGTCCACGCCCCAATAGCAGATGTGGTGCTGCTGGCCTGGCCTCTCTACTCCAGCCCTGGCGAGGGGGAGGAGTGTGAGGAAGGCTGCTTTCCAGCTGGCAGTGCTCCTCCCTCTTTCACGCTGAGTAGGGTTGGTGCCTACACAGGGGGGAAGCAGTGGGGCTGAGGAGTACTGGGAGTCAATGGAGGAGGGTGATCTACTGGGAGAATGTGTGCACTTGGGGTTACAAAGGGGGCGAGTGGAGAAGACGAAGAGCGTAAGGACATGGCAGTTACTGCCAATGGCCAGAATTTCCCATGATGTACTCCCCAGATCAATAAAGGAGCAAGGGTGATAGAGCTAAGAGAGAGACCCTCACTATCAGGCTTGCACAGTCCTTGAAATTTCACTTTGTCCAAAAATATTTTGAGACGAGGGGAAGGTATCAGTGTCATTCAAGATTCAAGCAGTATCACCCTTCACTAAATACGACTGAGAAAAACGTAAGGCAGGCACTCATGAAATGAGGCCATCTCGCTGGAATACGGATGAGAGATAACAGTCACCATCCAGACAGGAACACGCTTGTCCAAGAACCTCAGCACCTAGTCTCAAAACTTCAGCTGAGTCTACCTGAGAAATACACTGCACTGCTGTAGGATGGAATCGTAATGTTCCCAGGTAGAAAAAGGCATCCATCATTTTGGAGGAATTTTTAGTTCAGCAATAGCTGTGAGCTTTGACCCTTTTATACCTTGTTCATTCTGCTCATCTTAGTGTGCAGAACACTCAAAGGACTGTGTTTCATAAATTGTTGTTGCACCTGCTTTGGTTGTTTCCCTTTGTTTCAAGGACATCTTTTGTATTAATGACTGCTAAATTATCCTGGCAAAACTTCCCCTCACTGTTAAACTGGCCCTTGTCCATAGCCACAATCTGGTCCTGAATGTGTTTAGGCAGTGCTGTTATTTAGTGCCATTGGTTACTATGACATATAGAAATCAAAAGATTGTGGGAACACTCTTGTTTTTCATAAATCCATAGCTATCCAAATGTGTTGGCTGATTCAAGAACAGAGCATACAAATCAAATCACCTGTCATGGAAAAGTAGGTTTCTAAAAGCCACAATTAAGGGGGGAAAAGAAGTCTTTGTCATGACCTGAAATTCATCACATTCCAGCTCTGCCCGTTAACTTACAGTTAGGAATTTTGCAATAGAACAACAATTGCTACCTGTCTCATTCTCATTAATCAAATAATGCAGAGAAGGTATTAGTCTATGAAAGTCCCAGGAATGTTCCTGACTCGTAAATACTGCAAGCAGATCTCCTGCATAGTTCTTCAAAGGTGAAATGCCAGTACAACTAGTTTCCAGTTGTAGCCAGTGGGGAGCTTTTCCTGCTAAATCTGTCAGGAAATTTTGCTCAACTGTCTCCTCCAGGCATGATTTTCCAATAAATCTTAACTTTTACTAATTTTGACAGTTTTTCTTTTTTAAGCTGATCCCATTCCATTTTGGCTGAGGAATACTTGTTTAAAGCAGTAAAATATTCATTTGTGTTCAGAGATCTCCTTGTTTTGCTATACACTTCCCCTGTGAGTTGTGACATTTTGATCTCATCTTTTAAATCATCTTTTACATTTCAGATATGAACGGCTGAAAGCCGTGAGTCACCTCCCCCTGAAAATCATGACACTGTCTTTAAAAACTATTAATATTAAACTTTTTTAATTTGCCCTTTTTCTCACTCTGTAGATACACTCAAGTCTTACTTTCCAGCTTTTCCCTACACTAGCACAGAGAAAAATGTGATTTGTAAATGAAAAATGAGGTTTTGGCATAATTTTATGACTCCTGGAAACAGATTTACGTCTCCAGTAAACACGCCTTTAAGGAAAACACAAAGTATTATGAGAATCCTCATAAAGATGCAAGACTTATCCATAAGCATTACCATGTTAAGACATCTAAGTTCATGAACTATTCAACTTATATGATGATGGGAAGGGGCATGTTCATTTTTGGGATATGTAAGTAGTCTCTTCCACCCAGCATAGAAAGCACAGATTTACGTTCCTGCCATTTGTGGAAAAAAACCAATTTGCTTCTGAGGCTACTGTCAGTGAGACCGGATAAATTTACACAAAGGCTCAAGCTTGACCTCCTAATTTTCCAGACATTGTTTTCACCTGCTAAATGAGCTTCTAGCAAAAATCCAGTGTTTACACCCTTGGTAGTTTTGCAGTCAACACTATAATTAGCAATTTCTAAGTACCTACCTCTTTGCTTATTATGGATTTGCATATGGAAAAGGTATGAAAGGAAAACTGTACTTTCCAAGGGGTCACCATCTGGAACATTTGATGAGGAACACATGAAAATCAGCCTACAAGATAGATCTAACCTACTTGTCTGAACTACCAGATCTCTGCTGTGAACA